TACACGGGCCATCAAGGTGTTTTGTCTTGTGGTTTGTTGTTTGGCAGTTGAACCGGTTAGTTTCATTATATGAAATCGGACGGGGTGGCCCATCTTTTGCTCAAAAAAGGTGTTTTGTTGTAGGTAGGAGAGGGGAGTCTTAATTTGAGGCACTTAAGAGCGCAGCATTTATGCGCTGCCTAACCAAAACAAGGACCCAGTGATCATCAGAGGAATCACATGCGGTCAAAATAACGCGTAGAAGTACTCTAGATTTTCAAACAGGGTTATTATTGGGTTTGCGGTACGTTGCTAGCCATCATATTAATTGTGCTCAGGTGGACAACCAGCAGTACTCAGTATTATTGCTACTACCTCCGTCCTGGTTTATTAGTCTTCATTGTAATTTGTGCTAAATTTTCACCAAAGATTTACTTGACAAAATATTAGTGCATGTCATCATAGTTATACCATTAGAAATTGTAGGGTACTCCTACAATTGATGAGTGGAGTATGATAGAGTAGTATCGTACTCCATCCATTGGAAACGCATAGCGTATTTTTCTCTCATTAGAACAAAAAATGGCCAATAATTACACTATTAGCATATAATTCAGTGGTATATTTTTGCTCCTGTGGCAAAGAACTTGGACACAACATATTGACGATCATCATGTTAGTACTCTACTCTACTAGTATGTCATAAAAACCGACAGTCGCATGGGTGGTACCAGCACAGAATTTATCATGCCTTCAATTCCTTGTGTACATTATTAAAGTTAGAACAGTGATTTTCAAACATGTCCTGCTTGTTTGGTTGAGTGCTACGTACCTGACCGACTTAAAGAGGCCTGCACTAGTAATTCCCGGTACGCACGGGCAGCATAGATCTGCTATGTGTGGCGCCTACTAATTCCATCTACTCCATGGTTTATCAGAAGTTCAAGACGCATGGTTCCTTCCACTTAACCACTTGCTTGCACAACGCTAACATTGATGGGATGAGATAGGAAGACGACAACAGAACAAGAACCATCAAGAGAGGCGGCGCATCATCTACCAAGGTCTACTCCTTTTGTTTAGTAAACATGAAGGAAACCTCCCCAACGGATCATCGGTTGGGAGATGCATTAAGGCATTAGATGCCCACCGGCCGACCACGTGTCGTCGTTTTACATATGGGAAAATGATAGGGGACTCAGTAGTAAGAGACTAGCTAGGGAATTCAAAAAAAAAAAAAAACAAGTTCAAGTATGAAAAGTAAACATACGGGACAAGAACACAAATATGTCCTACTAAAAATAAGAAGCACGCGCCAAGTGACCGGCACATCAGTGGCTAGGTGCCCGATCAGCGGGTCCATCATACTGCCTAGACGATCTCAGTTCTACTGCTCAGAGAGCGGG